GTAGGAGAAGAAGGAAGGAGAGGGAGAGGGAGAAGGAAAGAGGGGGGCGCCGCCCCCTCCTAGTCCAATTCGGACCAGCCCATGGGGGGCATGCTGCCTCCCCTTGTGGCCCTTCTCTCCTTTCCACTAAAGCCCAAATAAGGCCTAATACTTCCCCCGGTGAATTCCTGTAACTCCTCGGTTCTCCGAAAAATACCCGAATCACTCGGAACCTTTCCGAGGTCCGAATATAGCCTTCCAATATATCGATCTTTACGTCTCGACCATTTCGAGACTCCTCGTCATGTCCGTGATCTCACCTGGGACTCCGAACAACCTTAGGTACATCAAATCACATAACTCAAAATATAAATCGCCATCGAACGTTAAGCGTGCGGACCCTACGGGTTCAAGAACTATGTAGACATGACCGAGACACATCTCCGATCAATAACCAATAGCGGAACCTGGATGCTCATATTGGCTCCTACATATTCTACGCAGATCTTTATCAGTCAAACGGAACAACAATATACGTTGTTCCCTTTGGCATCGGTATGTTACTTGCCCGAGATTCGATCGTCGGTATCATCATACCTAGTTCAATCTCGTTACCAGCAAGTCTCTTTACTCGATTCGTAATGCATCATCCCGCAAATAACTCATTAGTCACATTGCTTGCAAGGCTTATAGTGATGTGCATTACCGAGAGGGCCTTGAGATACCTCTTCGACACTCGGAATGACAAATCCTAATCTCGATCTATGCCAACTCAACAAACACCATCCGAGACACCTGTAGAGCATCTTTATAATCACCCAGTTACGTTGTGACATTTGATAGCACACTAAGTGTTCCTCCGGTATTCGGGAGTTGCATAATCTCATAGTTATAGGAACATGTATACGTCATGAAGAAAGCAATAGCAATAAACTAAATGATCATAGTGCTAAGCTAATAGATGGGTCTTGTCCATCACATCATTCTCTAATGATGTGATCCCGTTCATCAAATGACAACACATGTCTATGGCTAGGAAACTTAACCATCGTTGATTAACGAGCTAGTCAAGTAGAGACGTACTAGGGACACTCTGTTTGTCCATGTATTCACACATGTATCAAGTTTCCGGTTAATACAATTCTAGCATGAATAATAAACATTTATCATGATATAAGGAAATATAAATAACAACTTTATTATTGCCTCTAGGGCATATTTCCTTCAGATGTCCCAGGTACACATTCTTCTTACATTTATCCAAATATATACTTTCAGTCTCATCTAAATAGTGCGTGCATGCATTGTATCCCTTGTTTGTCTGTCCTGAAAGGTTACTAAGAGCAGGCCAATCATTGATGGTTACAAACATCAACACTCGTAGGTCAAATTCCTGTTGTTTGTGATTATCCCACACATGTACACCTTTTATATCCCACAACTATAGAAGTTCTTCAACTAATAGCCTTAGATACACATCAATGTCTTTGCCAGGTTGCTTAGGGCCTTGGATGAGCACTGACATCGTAATGAACTTCTGCTTCATGCACAACTAAGGAGAAAGGTTATAGATACATAGAGTCACATGCCAGGTGCTATGACTGCTGCTCTGCTCCCCAAAAGGATTCATGCCATTCATACTTATACCAAACCATAAGTTCCTTGCGTCATCTGCAAACTCCGGACACTTTCTCTCGATTTATCTCCACTGTGATCCATTAGCGAGTACTCTCAACATCCCGTCCTTCTTTCAGTCTTCTTTGTCCTATCGCAACAACTTGGCATGATCTTTGTTTTGGAATAAACGTTTCAACCGTGATATTGTAGGATCATACCACATCACCTTGGCAGGAACCCTCTTCCTGGGGTGCTCGCCCTCAACATCACCAGGGTCATCGCGGCTGATCTTATAGCGCAATGCACTGCATATCGGGCATGCATTCAAATTCTCGTACATCCATTGCAATGCCATTAATACAACACATAAAACCATTTCGCTTGTTTGCCTCAGCCACACGCAGAAAACTATGCACACCATTAATGAACTCGAGAGAGCGTCGGTCATTGTACATCCATTGCCGACTCATCATCATTACACAACATAGAAGTGACCAAATTAATACAAGTTCATACATACTTCCCATAAAACCAACATACAACTATCTAGCTAAACATTTAAATGCAACAACAAACACGATCAAAATCGCAACTAAGATAATAAATGATCCAACAACATAATGATACCAAGCCTCTTTATTAATGGCATATTTTCTAATCTTTCTAATCTTCAAGCACATTGCATCCTTCTTGATCTTGTGATCATCGACGACATCGGCAACATACAACTCCAACTTCGTCTTATCTTCTTCAATTCTTTTCAATATTTATTTCAAATAATCATTTTTTTCAACTAAATTTAATTTCTCGACAAGAGGGTCGGTTGCAATTTCCCGTTCACATACCTCCTAGATAAAAATATCTATGTCAACTTGATAGGCATTATTGTCATAAACATGAAATGAAAAAAATAGTTATAAAAGATAATATATCACATCCGATCATAAATCGGAAGAGGGTCGACGGGGACGGATACCAAAACCATGGCACTATATATAACAAACAATCGTACAAGTAAGAAAACTATACAAGTAATTATCTAAATCATACAAATAAGATTTTTTTTACAAAAAGAATAAGAACAAGAGACTCACCAAGGTGGTGCCGGCAACAAGACGACGCAAGCGATCGATGAAAGTGAGGACGGGGACGGGAAGACACTAAGTAAACCACACCTACACATATGCAAACTAAAAAGTTAATTTGAGCTCAAATTGCATATAAATCAAATAAACTCCCACATAATTACTCTCAAACTAAAACCCACAAATCACTATACTTATAGAGCATGAAACGAGCTAAACTAGCAATGAGAGATGAAAGGATGAAGTTGCTAACCTTTTAGAACCTGATAGATGGGGTGCCTCCAATCTTGACAAATTTTGGCAAAAAGGAAGGACCAGCTCGAGCTAGGGGAAGGAAACAGAGAGGAGAGAAAGGAGAAGCTTGGACTCTAGACAAAGCAACTTTATATAGGAATATTTTTAGTCCCGGTTGGTGATACAATCGGGACTAAAGTGGCTCGCAGGGGCCTCAGCCTGCCGCAACCCCTTTAGTCCCGGTTGGTATCACCAACCGGTACTAGAGGTCCCATTTGAACCAGGAGTAATCCTGGCCGTGCCCGCGTCCGCTCCTGGCCGTTGGAACCGGGACTAATGCTCAGATTAGTCCTGGACCCAAACCCGGCCAGGACTAATGCTCCGGATCAAAGGTAGGTTTTCTACTAGCGAAAGTACTGATCATCTTTTTTTTAATGTGCTCTAGCCAAACTAGTCTTGCAAGTGGTGATTTGTGCTTTTGGTATTCCAAAATCCATAGCTAAGCTCAAGGATTTGGTGGGTGGGTTGATCGAGAATTTTCCGAGAGATCAGAGAGAACTTGTTCGGTGTAGAGGGGTCACCATTTGCTAGACCATTTGGAAGACTAGGAATAGTGCATGCTTTGATTGGAACTTTCCCGATGGCCATGCTTATGTGGTGTATCACCTGTGCTACTATCTAAATGCTTGCAGTGTCTTGCAAAGATAAGATAGAGGCAGAACTTAGCAAGGGGTGGCTTTGATCAAGAGGGTGATTGAAGAAATTTATGCCAGAAGCCATGGTTGTAACGCTTATGTTGACCCTACGTGATCAGGTCTTTCTTCTCCCTCATTTTGGTGCCAGGTTTGTTGGGCCTTTCGCCTTTATTGTGACTAAGAAACTAGTCTGTCGTTAGTTTCCTGTGGTTCTGTTCGTTCTTTTATCTTTGTTTCTGTTGTAAAATTTTGTGGCAATTTCTTTAATGTAAATCGACGAGGAGGCTCATTGTTTCAAAAATAAAAATCTAATCAACGAAGGTGCAATTGAAAGCAAACTATTCCACTTCTTGGAACCGACGTGCAACCTCTGATTAATCACCCCTGCTTGCTCAACTAGGCACTATCAGCACCAATGTGGAAACACAAAAAATCTGACGTCAGATTTTTAGGCATGACAAATTTGACGTTTTTCATGGCAATTTATATTGGCACAATGATGGCAAATTTAGTTTGCAAGCATGGCAATTTTTCGACAAAAAGTGAACTGAGGTGGATATGCCATGCTAGCCAACTAAACTTGCCATCCTCGGAGAACATAATTTGGAATGAAAAATGTTTGATTTGCCATGATAAAAAGTCCGACATCAGATTTGTAGTAGAGTTTTTTATGGATATGATCAAGACGGCCATACATGTTTGCAAGTTGATGACTCTGAATAATTAAAAAAAAAAGTCATTGGACACCCGCGCGCACACACACCAATCAACGGATAAGTGATGAGTACACACGACATTCTACCTTACACTTAATTGTGGCAAGTTATGATTCCAATTGTGCAACAGTACAATAATTCGCACATATTCTCGAAAGAATAGTAATCAGCCTTTGGTATGTCCTTGTCATCGCATTGAAGAGCTCAACGGCACATTCTGGATGTGATTCAAAAAGAAGATTGGCGTGTTGTTCCTTGGCAAGAAAGTTGCACACGTATAGCAATTGTTTATCAACTTCTTTTTGGGTGGGGGTGGGGGTCACTACTTATTGAGTCCCATGCGCAAGTACTACTAGTCCACTTAGTTCAAACAAATGATGAAACACGCATGAGCAATAATTGTCCACAAATTATAGTTTTACTGGTAGATAACTTGGCATGCATGCATGGACAGCTTGGAACTTGCAAGTGTTTTACAAGACCCATGTAGTAGTTCAAATACTCAAAATATAGAAGTGGTTCTTGGTTCTTACTTCTTACACACACAAACAACGAGTAAAAATAAAGAAAGAGGCACGCGCCACGCAGGGTACTTCTCGTGTAGAGCATGCGGGAGCAGCACACGCATTTTATTTGGTTTCTTGGCTGATGGGCAGACAAGCTAACCAGCTGCGCTAGCAGCTCGGTAGCTCAGAGAACCCACCCCAGCATGAAGTTGTTCTCCCCTCCGGGGGCGCTGCTCCGTGGAATATTATTGGCTGCCTGATCAGGAGCCGCGAACTGATGAGGGTACCTGCGGCATAGATAATCAGTTCAGTTGCATGCATGGGAGATGGAACAGGTGGATGCAAGGTGCTCGATCGTAGGTACCCAATTTGCAGAGTGGGTTCACAGTCCATAGCAGCGGAATGATTAGGGTGCTGCTGCTGCTGCTGCTGCATGTGATATGCGGCGGCGCCTTCATCCACGACGGTGCCGGCAGCCCAGGTGATCTGCTGCATGGCCCTGTAGTTGTTGCTGTTGCTGCCTTCAGCGTCGAGCTGCAGACTCGGCAACAAGTAGCAAAGCCAACAGTTAAAAAGGAATACAAATGCGAATGCAGTTAGTGTTCTGTGTGTGCAGTTCAAATAGGAATAATAACATGTGTGAACTATTTATTAACCTTGTGCTTGAGTTGCCTGTTGATGTCTCCCAGCTGACGCTCCTGCATGTAGCAAGTACATCCGGTGAATTGTATGTTGGTAAAGTTCCTCTGTATGTTACAAAAATCCACTGATTCTCGGGTGCAATAAAGATATCTACAAGAGGGTGAACGAGCAAGCTGCTGGCTCATACATAGATATGCGGTCAAAGGCTCTGCCAAATGTCTTTTTTTGCAATACGTCCCTAGATAGCTAGCTACATTGACAAAGCTACGGCAATGCAAGTCATCCTAGTAGAAGAGCGAAGCAGTAGATAACTAGCAGTAGCGCACACACACACAAACATGTACAAGTAAGGGCTCGCCCATGCTGCTATGTTGCATACCTTCCTCCGAAGTTCCTCCACCTGCTCCATCATAAGTTGTGTCTGCGAACCGATAACTTGGTAAGTATTGAATTGGTAGTTGAATGAACAAAGCAAAGAATAACCATTTATTTCCCATACTTCATTTTGACGGGAATAACAATTTTCCATCGGCCAGTAAGCTAATTAAAGCAATAAAGATGTCTTCAGTTTCTGAAGTTATGCATATATATCTACTTGTAATATTCCTTATCTTTTAAATCCATTTGGACAGATCATAGAACAATACAGCTGTGAAATTTAAATGGATTTTGACATACATATATGTGCGCATGAACATCATGTGCTTAGAATGATGTATTCCCAAGCACCACGGTACATGAAAACTTCATGCATAAACTATTGGAAATTCGGTTAGGGAAATATGCAAAAATAATGTAGCCAATCTTGCATGGTGTGCATTTGCACCAAAGGGCACCAGTTCCCTTTTATACCGTTCATGTATAATGATATCCATTATTTGTTTTGGAACATTTTTTAATTCGGCATGACTATTTCTCAGGCGACTAACATGTAGTCATTTCTAGGTCGACAATCTTGATTGGTCATTTCTAAGTCGACAATCTTGAATGTTGGTTCCTTATGTAGCAATTAATTAAGTGGTTGTAATTTATAGAAATAATGTGCAACTTATAATAGAGAAGTTCAAAAGGCAGTTGCACATTTCTAAGACCTAAAATCACACAATCTTTTTTGTCCATTGCAGACCCGTCGACTCAATGATTTGCAACCTAGCTTCTTTTTTTTTTGCGAGAGATGTGCAACATAGCTGACTTAGAAATAACCATTTCTTAGGTGGCTACAAATTGAAGTATTTTTCAAAAAATGTATGTAAAGCCAGATTGCATGGCATGAATTAGTACTCTAAAACGCTACTCATACAAGTGATTAGTAATCATGAAATATATGGCAAATATGCATGTTACCTCTTTCAGTTGAAAAGGTCCATATCATCCCTTGAGGTATGAACTAGACTAGGTAACTCCCTTCGCCTTATTAATGTTTGTAAACCGAGCACCGCTAGAAGTTTTGCAGGATGGTTTCGCCACCATATATCTAACATGTTGTATTTGCTCTAAGATAGACTATTTTAAGCTTTGGCTGTTCTGTTCTGTACAGCCTCAAAACTTCAGGGGCGATGTAAACGTTTTCTATTTCTAAAAGAAAACAGCAGGAAAGGAGATCTGCTACTAATTTATTACATTGTTTAGAGCCACTGAACCGTACCATCAGAAAAACCGAAAGTGGATTTGAATCGTCAGGTACAGTGTAGATTACTAGAACTGTTTTTTCCGACAAAACGTATATCTTTTACATCCCAATGAATAGATGAAAACGAGAGCAAGTCTAAGAGGGTAATGTAGTTCTCTAGAAAAATTATAACAAACATTTATCAGTTATATTATGTTTTAACTTTCATTAACATATATGGTAGTCATTCTGTACCCATATTCCATATTTCCTGTATGGTACGCCTCAATTGTGATCCCAGTGCCATTAATAGATCCAAGAATGACTTCATTAATTGGCAAGCCAGTTGGTGCATATAACACATGAATAAATATGTGAGTTGAATATATTTGAACCTTTCGCTGTCTGGCCAGTGACAGAGAACATTCTAGCTGTTTCTCCAGCTGCTGCAGTTCTTTCACGCTGAGCGGTCCTAGGTCCTCCCCAAGCAAGTGTCTGCTCAAAATAAGCGCACAAAGAGTATGCAATCCAAATATCTTAGTCACTTAATTTGAATCTACGCTCTGTGAATGAGATGTGAAGCTAGAGCCTAGAAGTGGACCTCTGAGTTCGCTGCAAAGCTTCGAATTTTGCCTTTAGCTTTGACATTTCCTGGTACCAGCTCTACAGAGCAGAAATATACAGCCAAATTAGTTAGATAACCAGAATATTTAACAGGTTTTAGCTACATGAAATAATGCATCACAAGATAATGTTTGTCTAGCCTCTTAAGTTTGTTTAACATGTACTATACACAAATAAATCTATGTGTCCTACTGGACTAACGTGGCATTGATACTACATAATATATGAGAGGCAAATAATGAATCCAAGAGCTTTTAGTGAGAAAAAAATGTCTGTGCAAGTCGCCTACGTACTAATGAAATTAATCCTGGAGGTTAAAAACATGCATGATTGATGAGCATAACAATCCAATGGTATTAAGGTTCAAATACGCGAGCCTTAGTTTTCAAGACATGCCATGGGGGAAAAATGATAGAACAGAAGGACATAGTAACAAAGATATGGTAAGGCTATTCATTCTCAAAAGTTTCAATTCTTATATATTCTTTAGAGGTGAAAATTAGTTTACCAGAACTTCATTTAAGAACATTTTTTAAATACGTACTGAACCACTGACATTTGTTCCTTGGTATATATATAACATATATACATATGTTGGTGTTATGTTGGGTTTGGGTTCTGAAATTAATTGAGTAGATAGATGGTGGACTGCATAGTGAAAATTTTAAAATATGACTAATGTTTCCAGTACATGGATTAAACTCAACAATTAAACAACTTCAGGTTTACAAGAAACTTATTATACATCATTTGTTCAAGATAAGGGACCACCATAACTCGACATTTATGTCACCACATAAATAAGACAGTATGTTATTGTTTCTCACTTCGTTAAGTGCTAGCATGAATGCATGAAAGGATGGAATTTTTTGGCACGTGTCATATATGTTATGTGTAGAAAATAGTTACAAGCCATGACCAAATAAGTAATGTCCAATGCCTCAGCCAGCTGGTGGTCTAAAAGAAAATTCTCATTATATTATCGAGTGACCTAAACTAAGGAATATTATTATTTCTTTTTGATTTAAAATAGCAACTATCTAAGATGGTTATGAACTTCGATATCTGATATATATGACCTAGTATTACTGTATTTAAATAAAATTTTGAAAAGAGTCAGGATATAAGAAAATCATATGGTGGTACAATGACCAATTGATAGATATATATACCTGAGTTTCAGATAGTGCGCCATTGGAATCTTGAGCATTATAGCAGCAGTGTTGGTATCTTTCCAATGTTTTTGTTGTGCTGCGCAAGAAATTTAATTTACAAATAAATTTCTAGCTCTCTGGAATTTCAAACGTTGATACTTTGATAAATCTCACAAAAAGATATGCTTGGGAAATAAAACATATCGGTAGAGTATAGAGCATCTTGATTCCAATAGGTAATTAGCTAATATTAACTACAGTAGTGTTTCGGCATAAGAAGTTTTTTTTGTTAACTAGATATGGCTCAAGAACAATGCATGTGTACTCAGTTTTCATATGTTTTGCAAGTAGACATGTATATATTTTATTAACAAAATAGTAGTATATGTGTTATTTAGTGAGTTTGCTCGCATATGGCACTTCCCCACATGTGGCACAAAATTCCTCTATGATGCGCCGATACTCCAAGATTAGAAGATTTATTCACGATCTTCGGTCATATGATAGAAAATTCATTTTTACTATGGAAAATCAAATAAATCTTAAATCTGTGTCACATGAGAAAAATAAATGTTTTCTTAAAACAATACAGTTAACCAACATGGATTTCGTAAATGCTTAGTACTTCTCTTATTACAAAAAAAATATTTATTGTAGATTGGCTGCACACATTAAGGTACCATCGATTTTGTAAGAAAGGGGGAACATATCAGTTAACACAGAGCTCTAGAAATGAAGCCACCCTAATTTTTTTTAGGGAAAAGGTACCCTCAATTTGATGGTCTAAGCACATGATAATGAACTATAACACATTAACAAAATGAAGAAAGAAGTGGAGTGAAAGATCTACCGGGATAGATACTCAATGACATCCTAAATATCAGTTAACACACGTGCATGCCAGATCTACTGGGACTTTGGCATTTAGGCCTATCTCTTAGATGAGTGCCATGAGTAAAGCTCAAATGCTTGGTGAAAGTAGCTTCATCTTATGATGCAATAGACAGATATCTGCTCACTTTCTTGAGAGCACACATGTTTGTAATATTTCAAACAATCTTGAGGAATACTAGTATACATACTTTCCCAAAGAACCGTTCTGCACTAAGACATACCAGCCATACCAAAAAAAAAAGAACAGAAAGTGTGATGTAACAAAAGGAAAGATCCAAAGGTGAATGCTCCTAACCAAGAACCACCGGAACAAAGAAGCAAAGAACAAATCAAAATACTAGTTACACTTGACCGTAGTCCTACATCTAGTTTGGACGATTACCACCATCTAAGAAAACTTAGTGTGGATTAATTAGTTGGCACTAGATAAAAATAAGATGCTCAGTATACGATTTGCTACCACGCTTACACAATACAAATACGCAAATGAAAATATTAGTGCCAAACATCAATCCTGCCCCAACGGAGATATAACATGGGAAAATAAACTGCTTTTTCGTAATAAATGAACTGCTTCGGTACATATAGAACAGGCAAACAGAAACTAGATCTGCCACATTAGTAGAAGAAAATTGCAATACAAAAATAACATGGGAGAGCCAGCAATTTCCAGGAGCAGTAAACTCCAAAGACCGATTAATAATTGTACTACGGTAGCACTCATCAGCATAAAATGAGGAAAGGAACAAGAAGGAAAGCAAAATGCACTGTCTTCCGACATCTTTTGACCACACTACCATAAGAGGAAACTGATGCGTGCTTGAGAATAAGATCAATTATGGGAAGGAAAGATGGTGAAGTTACTTTTGCTTGAACTTCACACGGCCAGATTGTGGATACATGAAGAGAACCTTAGAGAAAATGAACCAAGACAAGATAAGGAGACAACGAAAGGAGATTGAACAAGAAAAAGGGGAAAAGGGGGGAAGGATCTCGATTTCAGCACTGAAAATGTTGATTTAAAGATTCTCCCGATAGGCAAAATCTAAATCTCTCTTTAGACAAAAAATCATACTACAAGAATCTCAAAAAAGACATAAAATCAAATCAAAACAAAACAAAAATTTCCTTAGTGAGGAACATGGCATGAAATCGGATGGAAAGATGATGTGCAGAAGAGTGAAGAACAAGCAACCAACTCATGACACATGTATACTCAGATCGGGCCAGATCAGCTGGCGCTGCCTCAAGCCCAGGGCAAAACAAGTACCAAATCGAACGTTTACACTGCAGTATTTTAATAGCCCGGATCAAAATGGAAAGAGCATACCTCCCCTTTCCCCTCGCAGCCCCCCGACTTCTCTATTGCTCCACACAAAAACAATCCCAGCTCTCTACTAGCTGAGCAATTAACTAAGGTGTTCTCTGACACACACCAGCACGGAGGATGGCCGCTCCGGAGAAGCTGGAAGAAAGAGGTAAAGGGTGTAGGGTTCGTAGATCTGCGGAAAAGATGCCTCATGCTAGTTACGGATCCACCCCTCCGGGTTATAAGAACATCGCCATGCCCCTATAGTAGCATACGTAGCAGGAATAAAATAGCTTTGCGTAGCCAAAGCGCAGGAACTACTACTACAAAGCGTAGCTCGGCTACGTGCTACAAAAACCACGAAACAGCGGCAAAAGAAAGCATCAGAAAAGAAGCAATTGTGCAAGGTGAAACAGCAGATCTGCATGCTGCAAGGCGAATCAGCCGATGATGCAAGGGAGGGGAGCGCGTTGATTTTATGTATGTGTATACCCGGCGCTGCCGAACTCGTAGAGCTTGCCGCGGCTGGAGAAGATGATAAGCGCCACCTCGGCGTCGCAGAGCACGGAGAGCTCGTAGGCCTTCTTGAGCAGGCCGTTGCGGCGCTTGGAGAAGGTGACCTGCCGGTTGATCTTGTTCTCGATGCGCTTCAGCTCGACCCTTCCCCTCCCCATGATCTCCTCCTCCTCCTCCTCCTTCCAAGCAAGCAAGAAAATCAAGCAAAGCTCTACCGATCAGCAAGCCAGCTCTGCGCTCTTCCTCCTGCGGCGGTTCTGACGCGCAACCTACTAGCGCATAGGGCTTGGGATGGGGAGCGATGGTGCCCCAGCGAGCATATAATGAGAGCCGGGAGGGGGGCGCGGGATATTAGTGGAGGCAAGGGGAAAAAGGGGAGCAATGGTGGGTACTGTTACTGTAGCTCGGTGCTGGTTTCTTGCGTCGATCTCGCTTGACACATCCCTGTCGCGCGCCCTCTCTCTCTCGACTTTAAAGGAGGGTAACTTTGGGGCGGGGCGGGGCAGTTACCACGGGTTTACCCTAACTGGAAGCACGGGCCGGAATGAGGGCGATCCAATGCTGCGTCCCCAACGCCACAAATACACACGTCGCTCTGCAGGGGCGATGGGTGCATGTGCGCATACACCAGGGAGGGGGAGCCGAGCCGCGCTATCCTACGCCGCCTCTCCTAGACTTAACCCGAACCATGTATGTCGCCACCTACTGGTCCATTTGGACCACCTCCTCGGCCGGTGGAGGATGCCCCAAAAATAAAGAGGCAGGAGCTTCCCGGCTTAAGCCATGGGGAGATGATCTGTTTCATCTAGTATAAACCCTATAAGCGGTTCGGTGCTAGCTAGCTAGAAGTACTTGTGCCTCGCGTACTCCTCCCAAAACCAAGTTCTCTAATGCTACCTAGTTCCTGGTTGCCTGCAAGAAGTTTTGTTAACCTGAGATAATTGACCCTTATGTTGCACAATCCTAAGCTCAAAAGGTATACGTACTTTTAGCACAACACAAAGTTGTGCATGTGCTCTTAGATACTGCTAGTACTTTCCAATTTAGATATCTTCTACTGCTGTCCTTTGGCTGTCTATCAAGGTCTCAATTGATTTATCTGATTCCGTCTTACAAATGGTGAATGTTGATCCAACTATGAATACGTATGACTGAGATTTCAGGAATCCGAATCGAACAAGACATAGACAATCTCACTTCTCACAATTATCATTTGAAACATTGGTGAAGTATGCGCACACGTTCATGATTGTGACTGGTAATGTAATATATATTAGTTCAAATTGATATATAGTTATGTACATCAATGTATATTAGCACACGATACGTCGCAAGAATCCTACCTGATAAGAAACATGGTGTGAAAATAAACACCTATATTATCAGCAAATGGTTTTATTCACAACCACATGTGATCGTTTTAGGTGGTCCTATCCATATTGAAGGAACCGACATTATGAGATGCTTATCCATTTATGCCGGTTCCTTCATATATATGACAAAGTCTAACATTGAAATCCATATATGTATGACAAAGTTCACAAACATCATAATATATGCATATCATGAACCACGGATTAAATTTTGCTAGGAGAAAAAAATAAAGTATAATTTTCTTGGCTACGTTGTTACCTTTTGGAATAATGAGATGCAGCAAAGCAAATGTCTCATGCTTGATACTCCCTGCATCTCCTTTAAACGAGGGCCTCATGGCATCTCCAAGAAACAGCCCGTCACGACATCTCCAAGAGGTGGGTCTCTATCTCTATGATCAACCGCTACTCGCCTTTGACGACAATTTGGCACCGACTTATGCATAAAACCCTGATTAAAATACAAAAAACCACGGGAATGGCCCAATATCCCCTATATATGAGCTCCATTTTTTGGTATTGTTTCTATCCATATTAGCCATGGGGGTAAGGGGCATCTCCCCATTTTCGTTCCCCTTGGACGAGAAGAGAGGGCAAGAGCAATAGAACAGGAGGCACATGCTAGGGTATTTTATCTATTACAGGTAATACAACTAAGTGAAAACATTTTCAAGATAGCGAGACAACCCCAAAGTCATGTCTTGATGTAGTGTTCGAGATATTCACCACTACCACACAAGCTCGCTGAAGTTGGCACATGAATCAGTTCGACTTATTCATTCTCAACTCCAATCGGAAAGACATGGTTCAGCTCTGCTCTGACTCGAAGTTGAATCTCTAAGGAAGATCATGGAGAACTCGAATGCACACATTAAAGCTAGCTAGCTAGAGCTAGAGGATATAAGCGTCAAACAAGGGGAATCTCATCATCTTGCTTCGCTGTTTGTGCAGCAGCTTTGCGGCAAGGTTTATGAATCTCATCATCATGTAATATGTGTAATTTCCAATTGTGAAGTGCATCTTTATTGTTAATTACTATATCTTGCTTTCTGTGGCCCGCAATTGACAAAACGTACCATTGGTTGTTAACGTGCTGAAATAGCCATGGGCTAAAAATAGACTGAAAGCCCATGAGGCCACGAATGGGCTAAAAGATGTTGTGGGCCGCAGATGAGCCTAAAGCACTACGGGCCATAATTGGACCCAAACACATGATGGGTCGTTAAGGGGGCGAAAGACATCACGACCGAAAATGGTCTGAAAGACATGACATGGCGTTATGGGCCTAAAGACAACACATGTCTTTTAATGGGCGCAAAGAGATGACGGGTCGTTAACGGGTCGAAAGACATCATGTACCAGAAATGTCCCAAGGCCTAAGTTAGCCGAGAACCACCAGGGGCCATTAACGAGCCAAAACATAGCACATACCAAAAAAATTCCCTAGAGACACCACGAGCTAGTAATGGTACAAAAGACAGCGACGGTTCTAAATTGTCCCAGAGGTACCACGAGACTTTAATGGACCGAAAGACACCATGGGTCACATATGGGCTATAAGAACCAATGGGGTGTAATCATGCAACTGACCCACATGCCTTTGAGTGGGCCTTCCATATGCAAGATCCTCTTAGTTTTTGATTATTTACCATGGGGGTTTAAACATGCCTTTGAGTGGATGTCCTTTTTAACTGAGGGAAAATTGATCGGTGTCATTGGCGAAAGTTGGATATTTATCCTACCTGGCATACGAGTAAAAATACAACGCATGATGAGATTTCTCTCAACTTCACTCAGGGATAGGTTCCTAGTTAAGCATCAATATAGACCTAAGTCTCGAATAACTTGGACCCCCCCCTTAATTGTACGGTTGCCCTATGACTCAATGAATACAATCAAACTATGGAAAATAACTACATCTTCATGTTGTCTTCATTTTTCTTCATTGTAGTCTATTGTTCCTCGAACAACACATCAAACCAGTTGCGTCAACACAACAATTTTTAGGGGTCATCTCCAACATGCAATCTTCTCGAAAGCATAATCCTCAAAATAAGCTCAGCCATGTTCTCTGCGGCGCAGATTATCTTCGCAGAAGTTTTAGCAAACTTCTCAATAACTACTCGGACCATTTTACTTTGTGTGCACTAGCAAACACATTACTCCCTCAATTTTTTTGTCCAGCAATCTCCAAAACACTCAAGAGTCACTAAATTGCACCAATAGTGCCTTTAATATGTTGATTGGAAATATATTGATGAGCATTGCCGGCAAAGCTTCCTTTGCCGAGAACCAGAACACAGGGACTCGGTAAAGTCTTTGCCGAGTGCTAAAACACGAATTTGGGAAAGAAAAGAGACTTGACGGGCTGGACGGAGGCGGCGGGTGCCACGTGGCCGAAACTTTGCCGAGTACTTGCGATAGGCACTCGGCAAACATGAAAGCCCATGGCGAGACATGTCAGACTCAATTATTTGCCGAGTTTGTCATTTGTCGAGTGGCCCACTCGGAGATTTGTGCCCAGGCAGGCCCCAACGGCCCCCTTTTTGCTGAGATCCGTGACTTTACACTCGGCAAACACTACTAGAATCAGGATCTTTCCCGTCAGCTAGTTCTTTGCCGTCTACTAGCTGACGGCAAAGAATGTCTTTGCCGTCAGCTTACAGAAAACTGACACCGCTAACAGCTTACAAAAAAACTGACGACAAAGAACTGCCTGATGGCAAAGATCATATTTGCTGTCAGCTGGTTCTTTGCTCCCTCTTTGCCGTCTACTAGCAGAGGGCAAAGCTTCTATGCTGTCTGCTAGCAGACGGCAAAGAAAGTCACCAAGCTAACGGTCGTTCCCCCCGGCCTACCCCACTAGCTAGGCTCTTTGCCGTCTGCTAGCAGACAGCAAATTTTTTTTGACCTAGCTAAAACAGTTAGCGCCCCGCCCTGGCCCTCTCTCTCTCCTGTGACCTCACTCGCGCCGCCCCCGTAGCCCGAGCCGCTGCCTTACCGCGCCAACCCCGGAGCCCGAGGTGCCGCCGGCCCACTCCGCCCCTCGGAGATCGCCCCGTCGCCGGCCCGCCTGCCCGCCCCGCCCAGCGGACCCAGGCCACGGCGACCGCCCTGCCCCGCCCCATCGCCGGAGCCGCGCCGCGCTATCCCGCCCCGCCACCAGAGCCACACCGCGCCCCGCCGCCAGAGCCGCGGCCTTCCTCAGCCCGCGCCCCCTCCCCATGGCCTGCCTCCACGGGCCGACCTCGCCGGAGGTGAGTTCTCGTGTCTTATTTCTTGTTTTTAGATTTAGTTTGGTTTAGTTTAGTTTAATTTAGTTTATTTTAGGTTTAGTTCATTTCTTCTATTTTTTAAGAATAAACAAGAAAGATGAAAAAATATAAGAAGAAGAAGAAGAAGAGGAGGAAGAAGGAGATGAAAAAAAGAACAAGAAGAAGAAGAAGAAGAAGAAAGAAGAAGATGAAAAAAGAAGTAGAAGAAGAAGATGAAAAAAAGAAGTAGGAAAGGTAGAAAAAGAGGGTCGCCGAGGGGTGGAGGGTCGACGAGTGGTCGAGGGGTCGAGGATCGAGGGGAAAAGAAGTCAACGGTCGAGGGGTCGAGGGCCGAGGGGAAAAGGGGTCGATGATCGAGGGTCGCCGAGGGGTCGAGGGGCCGAGGATTTGCCATCCCGAACCCGACACCCCGACTCCGACCCGACACCCCAACACAGCACCTCAACCCCGACACAGCACCTCGATACCGACGCGACACCCCCGACACCTCCAGGAAAGGTGCGCCTTGGC